TGGGGGTTTGGATTTAGGCTTTAGGGGTGTAGGGGTTAAGGGTTTGGGGTTCATGGTGTAGGGGTAAAGGTTTAGGGTTTAAGGTTTTGGGTTGGGCTTATGCCACGGCTTAGAGCTTGGGGCTTAAGGTTCGGGGTTTGGGAGTTAAGGAATGATGGTGTATGGACTAGACTTTAAGGCAAACGGCATTGGGCTCAGGATGAAGTACAATGGCTTTGACGAGAAGAAGGACATCCAAAATACACTCGCAATGACCCCCTCCTACATGCCCCACCATCCTGAATGTAAGCCTACTTCACATGAAGGGATGCACTACTCAGGCTCCCTGCTTGGGTCCTGTCTTTTGAACTACCTAGAAGTGAATGTGGCGTTAGAGGCATCTTGTCTTCGCTTAGGGCAAGCGTAGGTCCGCGCCTTGGGATTTTAGGGTTTAAGGGTTTAAGGTTTAGGAATTAAGGTTTGAGGGTTTAAGGGTTTAGGGTTTGAGGATTTAAGGGTTTAAGGGTTTAGGGTTTGGGGTTTAAGGATTAAGCCAGAGACCCTATCCTGTGATTTCAGAAGGTTGGCACATGGATTCAGGGTGATGAGCGCTAGGAGGCTTAAGGGTTTTGGGCTTTTGGGTGTACTTAAAGGCTCATGGGACTTAGTAAGTAAGGCTATAAGTAGCTTATAATTAGGATAACCCCACTTAAGGGACTTATAACCCCAAGTATAACCTACTTACTAAGTCCCATGATCCTTTAAGTAGGTTCAAGGCTTCGGGGCTCGAGCCTAAGCTGATGGGATCAGCAGCCTACAAGCCTACACTTCTGGCTGACTACAAACCCCACCCATCGTTTGGTAGATGCGGTATATACATTGGAAAGGGCCCCCGCCCCTGTAATAGTGGTATAAGAGGACTATAATAGGGCCCTAATATAATCCTTATAGTCACTATTGCAGGGTGGGGGCAGCTTCTAGTACATACACCGCAACGCTGAAGTCCCCCAAACCCTTAAATGTGTAACTGCAATCGGGCTGTAGCCTGGCGAACTTATGCAAAACTTGGACAGGGGTGATAAGGGAAGAGCACGACCCAGTTTTGAACATCCCGTGTTCATTCCCCAGGTTTGAACATCCCGTGTTCATTCCCCGAAAGCCTAACCCTACGTTCCAAAAGCCCTACAACCTAGACTGAACCCAAGACACTCCGCCTCACCCCCTCTCACCCTAGCCATACTCCCCAAAGAAGGTAAGCAAACATGCTTTCTTTCGAAATCCCCAAAAACACACACACACACACACAAGAAAAAAGCTGAAAGCAAAGAACACCCAAGAGCTTAATCAGTGTCTACATGAATTGTATAATATAGGGGCTTATAGGGGCTTAGTGGTGAAAGCACATATATCACACAATAATTCTGCCAAGGAACCCGAGGAATAATGGTATGCAGGCTTCTAGTTGTGTGAGGACTTAAATCACAAGACTCTATAAGCCAAACTCATCCAGAACTCTTAGAAGAGCTTTTCTATTATACCGGAGCATGCCAGGGAGCACCCACCGGCGAGCGCATCCAGGTGGAAGCAGGAACGATGGCCTTGCATTTACTGAAACTTGGGTTTCAGCCCAAACCCTAAACCCCTGAACCCCTAAACCCCTGAACCTTGAACCCCTAAACCCCTGAACTCCTAAACCCCTGAATCTTGAACCCCTAAACCTCTAAACCCCTAAACCCCTGAACCCCTTAAACCCCTGAACCCCAAACCCCTAAACCCCTGAACCCCTAAACCCCTGAGCCCTAGAGCCCTGAGCCCTAAACCCCTGAACCCCTAAACCACTGAACCCTAAACCCCTGAGCCCTAAACCACTTCGAGCTTACACGTGGGGCTTATTATTGGGAGTTAGGGAGGCTGGTTCGGCGGTTCCTGCTTCAACGGCACTTACGTAGAACCACGGACAGGAATCGTCGAGAGTGTAGACACTTCACAAGGATTACTAGACCCACAAGTATCCTAGGAATAAAAAGGGTGCCCTTTTTGGTTTAAGGGGGCTTATAAGGAAACCTGAACCCTAAGAAAAGGGAATAAGGGCCTACTCTAGGTCCTACATTAAGACTTCTCTTCACCACGCAGAATTGAACTACAGCACTGCTTTTCAGAAGAGTCGGACAGAAAACCACAAACAGCAACATGCTGAAACCTAAACCCTAAGCCCAAACCCCAAACCCCACCCCTCTAAAACCTAAACCCCAACAGAACAAAACAACCGTTAGATGCTTTTTCAAATCCTAACCCTTCCACCCTCTTTCTGAACTACCCAAACCCCTAAACCCTAGACCCTCCTTTTGAACTACCCTACTTACCGCCTTAAGGGAACCCTAAACCCTAAACCCTTCTTTTGAACTACCCTAACTACCCTACTTACCCCCTTCAGGCAACCCTAGGGGATGCCCGCCTGTTCCTGGGGGCCCTTGATCTCGATGATCTCGCTGGCATCTTCCTGGAGTCTCTTGTAAGGGAGCATAAGGCTTAGGGTTCGGGTTTAGGGCTTGGGGTTTAGGGTTTAGGGTCTGAGGGTTTAGGGTTTAAGGGTTTGTTCAAGGGTTTAAGGGCTTAACGGTTTAGGGCTTTAAGGGTTTAGGGTTCCTTAAACGGAAGTGATGCCTTAGGGTTATCCTTACGGAAATCCTCCGGAAACGCTTAAGGATCATTACTTGAAGGGCTTCGGGAACCCTTAAAGGAACCCGTGAACTTAGTTGCTGAGTTGATAAGCCCCAAACAGTGTATACTTTCAGTTCTGGAAGAGATCACATCATCCCAAAAAGTGCAAGGTGTGCTCACTCAGCTACGAAGTGAAAGAGCCCCAGACCCAAAGCCGAACGAAGCTGCCACCTTATTGGACGTCTAGGCTTCTGGGCCGGGGCATAGGGGCTACTTGGAGGTTTATAAAGGGCTCCTTAAAAGGGATCCTTAAAGGGATCTATGGGGTTTAGGGTTTAGGGTCTACTTGGAGGGGCAGGGGACTTAGTACGTCGTTTATACGTAGGGTTATAATTGGGGTAACTCCATTCTCGGGCAGGTGTAACTCTGCTTATGACCTACTTACCAAGTCCCTAGACCCTGAACCCTAAACCCTAAACCCTATTTGATAAGTCCCCTGCCCCTCCGAGTAGGAACCTGTTTGGTAATGATGTCGAGAAACGCTACTGTGTCGGAGGTCGGGGGCGGAGTCGCCCATGTGGGATTTAATATAGGGGCCTTAATAATTACCTATACTATTTTGGGTGGTTCCTTGTTGTATGTGTAATGTAATGGGCCCCAAAACCCTATTTTAATTATTAAGGCCCCTTTAGTAGGTTTCAAGGCCCACCCCAAACCCTTGCGTGTTTAGGGTTTTTGGTGAGCCTCCAGACCCTCAAAGTGGTTTAATGCATACAAGTTAGATCACAAACCCACGCCCCAAGCACCAAACCCTAACACCCTTAAAACCCTAAACCTTAGAAGCTGCCCCCACCCTGTAATAGTGGCATAACAGGAACATAAGAGGGCCCCAATATAATCCTATATAATCCTTGTGGTCACCATTACAGGGTGGGGGCCCCTTCTAACCTAAACCCTAAACCGAACTCTGTAACGAAGGGGCCTCATGGTTCGAATTTTGTTCTCGCATGGTCTTACGGGCACGGTAAACGGAGGTGACAAAACTTAACCCCAGAAGCTCTAAACCCAAAGCCCTGAACCCGAAACCCCAAACTCTAAACGCTAAACCCAGAGGACCTTAACCATAAGTATTTCTGCTTCCATTGAAACCCTTGAATCGTTCAGCTGGGCCTAAACCCTAAACCCTGAACACCCCAAACCCTAGGTCCTGCAGTGTCAGCATTCTGCAGGCCCGCTCCAGCCGACACCAGGCTCGGCTTTCGTAAGTCCCCTTGGACAAGGTCTCCCCACCTGAGAAAAAGAAGAGGAGGATCATGGGACTTGGAAAGTAAGGTTATAAGTACCTTAATTGGGGTTATAAGGAGTTGTAAGTATAATTACTTCAGTTATAGCCCCAGTTACCAGGGGAGAACCCAGAGACTCTAATATCCCTTGATATAAGGAATATACCTTAAATTATAGCAGGATCCCTAATATGATTTCAGGAATATTCCCTAAGTAAGGGATATTGGAGTCTCAGGGAACTTGGGGTTAAGGGCTTTGGGGTTTTAGGCTTCGGGGTTTAGGGTTTAGGGTTCAGGGCTCATAGGGTTTAGTGTTGAGTGGCTGGGGGCTTGGGTTCAAAGGTCCACTGGTGGAAAAGCTTAGAGAGCAGGGCTGTGGATGGGGTTCGGCTGGGATCTCTTCACGCATGCCCTGGGTTATCCCGGACGCCGCCGCATGAATGCGGCCTCACCAACTGCACTAAACTCAACTGCTCTACCGATCACCTGGACAGTGGTAGCATCACTGCGCAAACCTAGGAGTACAAAGTCCAAGAGAACATCACTCGCCGGTGGGATTTGGACTCCAACTACGTATCTTCACTCACTTTTTTTCATTCGCGCATGGCTGGGATCTATGCCCAGTCTATGCCCGCAAGATTGGAAAGAGCCGGCCGTCGGTCGCAACGAAGACCTGCCACACCATTGCGAATTGTTGCGCACATCTGACAGTCTGACAGAGAATTGAGAATCACTCCAGTAATCTTCATGCTCGAGGTTATGTCGCTGTCCAATTTCAGTCTTTTTCCGCATCTGGCTAAGATTTCGCTTCGTTGCTTGGTCCGCCGGTTGGTGAACCAGTCTGGCTCCGTGGAACAGTGGAACCCTTCATTGAAGGGCTCTTTCCGACAACCAGCGAACGAAAAGGCTGCAAAAGGAGGCGTGAGTGCGACTTGAGCAACTTCGGTAAATCTCATTGAAGCTTTCATCCTTCATCCCAAACAGCAACGTTCAACAGAAAGCCAAAGACAAGCCTGCAAACCGGTTTGCTCTGGAAAACACTGCATCTGTGAGCACAAAATCACGGCTTTCACCGGCTCACTTCAGCAAATGGGCACAATGGCGTGGAGCATTGATGTCCATCAACAGCTTTTCATCAGCTGATGGCTCTGCTTTCATCGGCTCATCCGGAGAAGCCACCTTCTTCCACGGGGGGTTCGAGCCACCCCCGAGTTTGTGCTTGGGATCCTTCTCATGAGCCATCCAGGCACGTGTGCAAAGAAGCGAGGTGTCTGGGTCCGTGCCCTTCTGCACTAGCGTCTCAATCGCCTGGCGGGACACGTCAGCACTGTCAGCCCTGTCAGCCCACCCCCACCACCGCAGATAAATGAATCACGACACTCACATGCGTGACCGTACCTGCCTGCGTGCGCAGCTCAATGTAATGATAGCGCATGTGAACCTGTTGGGTCCGTCCATGCCTTGATTGTCACTCGGCAACTTAGAACTCAAGCACGTAAAACCAGAGCTACGTGAGTAAGGTCTAAAGTCTGGGCTTCCGGCGAGTCCGGAAACTCGATGACATCTTCATCGTAGATGCAATCAAACATCGCTCGTTTCAAGTCGTAGCCCGGTTTGACAAGCCACACCGCGCACGGGCACAAAGATGTGGCTCGGTTATATCCGTCTCCGCTCATCCAAAAGTCGATGTCTAGCGTTCCGAAAGTCGCCGATGCGACCTTGGTTTGTGCGGCGGGGGACTGGACTCGCACAAGCATGACATTGAAACAAACTCCACTCGGTCCTCGATGCCTTCACGGACTTCACACTTCGCTCCGTGCTCACACGTCCGAAGGCGAAGATTTTCGCCCCACCCAGTGTGGGCTCCAGGTTCTGCATCTTGATCATGACGTTGCTCTTCTGATCCGCGACCATGATGCGCAGCAGCTCCGCAGAGGACTTCTGCCTCCGCCATCAAATATCACAGGTTCACTGCAACGACATGCAGTAACAACAGCTTGCGCACTTCTGCAAAACCCCATGTTTGAGCTGGGGCAGACACCCTGCCCAAAGCATCAGATGGGCTTCCACCTGCGATTGGATGGACATGATATCCAGGACGGTTGTCCCGCTGGACCCCACAGCATCGATGTCGTAGATGCTCTGCAAGCTGGGCGGTTGGTCGGTTGCGTTTGCACCACCAGTCGCGGGGTCAACGTTGCTAGAAGCCGCTTCCTGACCTTCTTTGCCGTCTGCTCCCCTATCAGGCAAGGGCACGGTGGCCTTGAGCACAGCTTTGATAGCAGGGAGCACCTTCATCATGGATTCAGCATCGTAGTCCGCGTCGGCCTTATTCTGCAAGCGGGACACCGTTACGGACAACACTTTGGCCCATGATGTTGACCAGCAATGCGTCGCCTGCTCAAAGTCATGGAGGCATTCTGTCACACGGCGGTTCAAGCAGGACTCGAGCTCCAGGATGTAGTCATCCGAAGCCTCGTCGCAGAGGAAGTCGAGCACGCGGAGCAATGATTGCGCGCATTTCATTGAGAGGTCGTCCATCTTCGCAAATTTTCTCACAGCAGCCTCTTTATGCGACGCCGGCATCTGGATCAGCATGTGGATGCACTTGAACAAATATCTGGGTCGACTGAGGATGCACATCTGCACGGCCTTCTCATTGAGACACATCTCGGGCTTCTTCGCAGTCTTCGGCTTCTTCGCTTCCGCGGAATCGGCAGGCTCCTGGGGGTGCTTCGCCTCCGCGACCTCATCGGACTGGACGGTCTTCGCTTCCTTCACCGCAGCCACGGCCTCCTCGGACTGGACAATCTTCGCTTCCTCCACCGCAGTCTCTGGAGTGGAAGAGGCAGCGGCAACATTCGTGCGAGGAGCATCCGAAGCCTCCGCAACCTTCTGCATCTCAACAGCCTCAGGCTCCTTCTCAGCCACAACCGCCATGGCGGCTGGCTTCGTCGAGCCTGACGCTGTTGTCTGCTTGTCCGTAGAACTCTGCAACAAGGGTTGATCGCTTTCGTCGCTGGTGGCGGCTTCAGTGGCTTCCATCGATACCAACAGAAATTTGGCGTCCTTTCCCAGCATGTCATACAGGGCGGGTGCCTCGTCCTCATGTCAGTCTACTCTACTGCGATCAGGATTTAGGGCGGTAAAGCATGGAAAACACGCAGTGTCCAAAATGTGGCCCTTCCTGCCACCTCCTTCCCCTCCCCTGCCCCGATTCTAAGCAAACAGCCCCCAGCACAAGCGAGCATCATGAGAATATGTTGCCGTTGCACACACAAGTTGTTAAGGTGTCCGAGGGCGGACACCTTAAGTCTGATGCATTGTACATGGATACCAGGAACATTGCCGTTGTTTTAACCCGCCCCTTCCCCTCGTTTACCCACTATACCCCGTCACTACCCCCCCCCCCCGTCCCCCTACTCCTAAACCCCGCCACTGCAAGCGCCACGGGGTCGTATCCAACCAGAACTCTGGCAACAAAAGACTCTGCTCTACGGACTCTCAGTCCTGGTTGGTGGCCTTTCTCTGCGCGTCATCCACAAAGACGGTCAGGGCGAGTGCCGCATTGCCCACATCGGACACTGCCGCCGGGATCAAGTCTTCGCTCTCCAGCGTCTTTGCCACGCTCCAAACCAAGTTGCTCAAGGTGTTGTGCATCTTGCGATCGTGCAAATCACAAAAGCCATCTGCTGGGGCATCCCACTGGCCCGGTTGTGGGCATTGGCAGTGAACCTCGCGAACATGCTTCATAGTCGAGACGAGGGCTGGATGCTTCAAGAAATTCTTGTCGTTGTTCTGCGTAAGGAACTTCTTGCACGCTGCCGTCTTCTGCTTGTCTGCGATGATGGTCTTATTCCTTGCGAGTGGTGTTTCGGTTGTTGCAGCTTCCGCCGTCGGAGGCGCTTTGCCACTGCGAGCCAGCTCGTCCACCAGCTTGGCCAGCACTTCTTCCATGGAGTCACCTGCAGGTAGCTCAGCATTGGCTTTCCGCAAGGCCGCATGCAGGATGTCTTGCAATGCTGGTCGGAGCGAGCTCCAATCCTTCATGCATTTCTTTCCAACGACGACTTTCCCTACAAAGCAAAACTCCAGGGCATAGGAGATCAGGTTGCCCATGAGGTGGCTGGAGCCAGGGGTCTGCATCAACTTCTGGTATGCAGCCTGGAAGGGAGCGCCGCTGCAGCGGTTCAAAGCAGCGATGAGGTCGTCCAGCCAAAGCCGCTGGCGATGGCCCGGTGCCTCTGCTTCACTCGCATTGGCCAGCGGCGCGAACTCCACGTCGGCCTCCAAAGTTTGCGCTGACTCCCCGGGCGCCAAAACTTGCTTGGCAGCCTTGCCCTTCGACTTCGGTTGGCCTTTGGCTTTGGCCTTTGCACGCTTCTGCACTGCAGGGGAAAGGTCTGGCACCAACGCTCTTTTCCGATTACCAGCCGCTTGAGCAGCGGCACCGGCTGTGCTCAATTTCCGAATGAACAATGCACCAGCCACCGGACAGCAAAGTCTCTCCTGGCACTCTTGGAACATCTGGGACTCGGCGCCCTTCACGAAGATGAACGGTGGGTGACGACGGCTTTTGCCACCGAGCTGGACTTGCATCAATGGAACCTGCGTCACCCCAATCGCCCTTCTGTAGACTTACAGCTGAACCCTTCCAAAATCATTGCACATATGCTTGTTGCAACATGCTGGGAACCCCGACGCAAAACTTACAGGCTTCCAGCAACACGGGTCCCAAGTCAGAATTGCTCTGACCGCTGAATCGTGAATCCAGTAGTGTGGCAAAACTGTTCATGTTGCTCATCACATGTTCGTGCTTGGTTAGGTTCTCATTCAGAAAGTCCGTCTCCGAGCCGAAGAATTCGTCCCAGTCTTTCAAGATGCCAAACGACTTGAGCTTGTTGCGGAGAGCCCGCGCTGTCTTGAAGCTCTGGGCAGAGTACTTTTCCTGCGGCAGTGTCTGTCCAAATTATGTGCGAAACATCATGTGTAACTGTTGTAACTACACGGGACGATCAGGGCCAGCGCAAGCGAAACTTAAGCGAGCTTGACGCAGACCGTTCTAATCTCCAATGCCACAGTGTCCTTAAACTCGCTGGACGCGAGCCAGGACATCATCTCCTCGTGATAGTTGGAATTCCTGCTGGTTATGGACGCCCTGTCCGCATAGCTTCTCCAAGCCTGCCAGCATGTCATTGCCAATATGGCGTGCATTAATATGTATGAAATGGCTGACTAGGAAGTATAACTATATAGTCCCGAGGAAGGGTGCTTCCTCGGCCCGAGGAAGCACCCTTTTGAAAACAGCGTCCTCATGTCAGTCTACTCTACTGCGATCAAGATTCAGGGCGGTAAAGCATGGAAAACACGCCGTGTCCAAAATGTGGCCCTTCCTGCCACCTCCTTCCCCTCCCCTGCCCCGATTCTAAGCAAACAGCCCCCAGCACAAGCCAGCATCATGAGAATATGTTGCCGTTGCACACACAAATTGTTAAGGTGTCCGAGGGCGGACACCTTAAGTCTGATGCATTGTACATGGATACCAGGAACATTGCCGTTGTTTTAACCCGCCCCTTCCCCTCGTTTACCCACTATACCCCGTCACTACCCCCCCCCCACCGTCCCCCCACTCCTAGCCTGGTCTACGTCATCGGCTCCCATGACAAGCTCGTGGAAGGAGATGTTGGCACCGCCATGCCAACGATTGTTGACATCCCGCAAATACCTTGATCAGCTCTGTCTGCACACACGTACATACACACTCGACAACTGTCTGTCTACGCATGACGCATGACGCAGCACGCGGACACTCAGTATCATGCGTGAGCACGTCTGCCGGCGTGTCTGCGTACAGCACACGGGCTTGCAGCCCGAATTTCAGGGTGGCGAGCACCTGTGCATTGTTTGGAGCTTGGTCGATGGCGTCGTAGAAGGCTTCACTCCTCGTCACAAGGACAACGTATCTCATGCAACCCACACATGGCGGCAGGGTGCGCGCAACACAGCTGAGGGCCCGCGGGCAAACTGAGGGCTTAGCAGCGTACCAAAAGTGATGGCTTGGTAGGGCTGCGAGGCATTGCTTGGCCTTAGAATGATTCCCAGCTTTCAAAGTCGTCCTCCATCCACTGCCAAACGCAAGGCCTCATATCTAAAGCAAGGCTCGCCACGAGCCACGCCTCCCCTCTGCAGCCCGTCATGATTCCGTGGGTCAGAATGCCCTTCATGTACAAGGCCTTGACGGACGCCTGTTTACGGCTGTTGATGCTGTGCCGGACGATGTTGCGGCTGCCATTCTTGAACCACGGAACGGACACCAGCCCCTCGTTGCATTCTGGAACCTGAAGCCCAATCATCACTCGGAATGCTGCTAGCCCAACCGCGAATCATTCGAAGTCTTGACAATGCACAAGGGCACGCCTGGTACGTCTGGAAAACCCTCTCTTGTAGCTCGCGACCCTGCAAAGCGCCGAAGCGCTCACTCAGCGATCGCTGCCCCCATAAAAGAGCTTGGGCAGCTTCCATGCCGCCCACTGGCCTCGGATGACGATGCTGACTCAATTTCAAAAGCCCTAAGTCCAGAGCACCTGGTCACATTGTTGTTGGGTTTCATGCACAGTTTGACATGTCTGAGATCTCGCAGGCATGGCATAGCGGATCATTCAAGCTGAGACTCTGTGCATGGCCCGACATGCACGCACAACAGGATCACTGCACACGTGAGCTCTCAAAGCTCTCAAGCCACTGAAAAACTGCGCTCTACAGCCATGTGCATGTTTGCTTGCATATTCGCTTGCAGAAATGCTCCGAACTTTCCTCGAATGCCAGTTGTTTTTTTGCAGGGAAAGCTGTCAGCTCGAAACTCTCGTGCAAGCCACTTGCAAAGGGCACTCTTCAGATCGCTGCTCTGCATTTGCAGGCAGCACAGTCAATAGGCATGCTGCGCCATGCTGCCATGTATCACGGTGACCCCCACTCAGCGCCCAAGCGCCGCACAAGACTACCCAAGCGATGGCGTGCAACCGTCGTCTGTTGTGGCTGCACTTCTGCAACGCAAAACAAAATAGCGATGCCGCAGACCATGGCATGCATTGCATTGCCGGCTTGTCCGGTCTGCGCCGCCCTGCTTCGCTCAAGTGAGCTGTTGTCGCTACAAGCAAAGCTACACATGGGCACATTGCCCGACAGAGCTGTCCTCGTTGGAAAGCCCTGGGCCAAGCAGGTCTCCTCAGCCGTGAGCCACCTGCCATGGTGATCCGACCTGGAACAAAATCAGTTTTGACTCGCGCACCAATCAAGACACACTGCTCGAACATGCACCTTAAGCAATGTAGACTGCAGGTCAAGGCACCACAAGATGCCCATGTTCCGAATCAGCGTCTGCAACGTGTTGCTCTTCGAGCACGTGAAGCACACTGACGGATTCTGGTTCAAGGAGTAGACCATGCCAGGCGCTCCTTCCCGGAAGTGCTGCAGGCGTTCCTGCTCGGAACCCGTCAGTGCTCGATAGAACTCTTCTGCGACAGCTTCTGTGCTGGCAGCCTCGAACTCTTCCAAAGAAGCAAAGACGCAGCCCGTGTCTGAGGCTGCGCTACCAGGCCTTCCGCAAGCCCAGGTTAGCTCCTTGTACAAGCACTCCCGGCTGCTTGTAAAGAAGACATCCCATGGAGGCGTGCCATCTCCGAGCCGGTGGCACCAGCCGAACACAAGCTCAGCTTGGAAAAGCCGGCCGAAAATGGACCATGGAGTCGTGGCCCCTTTTGTTTTGCCCTTGTGCCTCAAAATGGTCCACCTCCGACGGCGGCTGACTGGCCAGCCGCACTCTGCTGGATCCAACTCGCAGGTGTCTATATGGTACAGGAAACCAAGCAAAGTGCACAGCAAGGACACTGGAAACGGCGCCACGTTTTCCTGTATCACCAACTCTTCCTGCAGACGTGCTCGCATGGCTGTCCATGCCAGCAGAAAGGCGAAGGACTGTCCTTCCACACCCATCATCAAACCCTTCTGCGAAAAGTCAGTGCAGGGCGTCCCTGCCACGTGAAGACGCGCTGGCTCGACCTGGAGAGAGAAAGTGAGAGACAGCGGCAGCACCGAAAAGAGAGAGAGAAAAGGAAAGAGACGGAGAACCACGAGCAGGGAAGAAGAAAACCTTCAATTGTAGGACGCACGGTTCTCTTAAGCTTTTCTTCCTACCTATATTAGGGAGTTTTTTGGAAACCTTCTTTAAGTCACTGTGTGAATTTCTTTGGTTTACATACTTTATATCTTTCTCTACTTCCCTCGCTCTCTCTCTCTCTCTCTCTCTCTCTCTCGCTCTCTCTTTTCATTTCTCTCCTTCTTATCATTCTCTTGGTCCGCTTCTCTTGCACGCCCGCCTTGCACCACCTCCTGTGCTTAATGCAGTAGGCTTGGTCAGCGACAACATCTGCCGCGTGCTGCTTCAAGAGGGGCACGAAAATCTCCGTCACGCTTGCCATGTCCAGCAGCCCTTTCACCTTGTCTCGCAGTGCTGGTCGCCAAAAGTCCTCTATGTTGCCGAATACATGCTCCGGCCCGTGAGGGTGCAGCAGGAGTTCTGCTTGAGACGCAGCCAGCCATTCTATGGCGAAGAGGTTGCGCGGGCGCGGTATGTGCTCTGGGTCCAACCCGAGCTCTTCGCAGAGGCCGGCACCCAAAGCCAACAAGGCTGTGGACGGCGTGTCGATGCCGGAGAAGGCGGTGCTCATGCTCATCTCCTGCATGCGCTTGAAGAGGCTAGACATGCTCGAAGCGCACTGGTCGGCACATGCGGCCCCGTTGACTGCAGGGTAACCAGTTGCGCGAGATTCCGCCACTATCGCCTCTGCTGCCTGAGCCCAGTCTTCTGGCCTTGTGCGGTCCCGAACACCGCGCCATCTAGACCACACGTGCAGGACGTGTCTCGGCCAGCGAAACAGCTTCTGCAGCAAGGTTTCGCGGTCAACTGGTGGCACTGCTGTGTCGTCTGTGTCGTCCGCCACTACCTCTGCTGGCTGTGCTCTCGACTTCGCAGCTGTTGGCCTCGACAACGACGAGTCGCCGGGGCGCTTGCCGCGAAGCCGGCGCGTGGGCTTCAACATCACACAAGGGATGCTTCGTCCACTGTGTCGACACTACACTCTATAGACTCTAGACTTTAGCTAGCTGTCTAAGGTGGTGCGTGTTGGTGTTTTGTTTCTGAGCTCTAGAGGCTCTAAAGAAAGCCGCCACGGCCTGCATGCTTGCAAATCATGGAGCAATCCTCTCCGATGGCGAACCGAAGCCGCTATCCCGCCTGCTGCCCACGTCTGATGCCACCACATTGTGACCTTGAAATGAGGACTGGGTGCCAGCTACTACTACTACCACCACTACTACTACTACTACTACTACTACTACTACTACTACTACTACTACTACTTCTACTTCTACTTCTACTACTACTACTACACTACTACTACCACTACTACTACGACTACTACTTCTACTACTACTACTACTACCACTAGTACTACTACTACTACTACTACTACTACTACTACTACTACTACTACTACTACTACTACTACTACTACTACTACTACTACTACTACTAGTACCACTACCACTACCACTACCACTACCACTACCACTACTACTACTACTACTACTACTACTACCACTAGTATTACTACTACTACTACTACTACTACTACTACTACTACTACTACTACTATAAAGACTACTACTACTACTACTACTACTACTACTACTACTACTACTACTACTACTACTACTACTACTACTACTATTGCTATACTATTACCACTACTACTACTACTACTACTACTACTACTACTACTACTACTACTACTACTACTACTACTACTACGACTACTACTACTACTACTACTACTACTACTACTACTACTACTACTACAACTACTACAACAACTACTACTACTACTACTACTAACACTAGTAGTACAACTGCAGCAGCAACAACCACAGCAATGGCCGACAACAAAAATCGCGGCAGCAGCAGCAGCAACAGCAACAACCAGAAAACAGCACCATACAGCAACAACAGCAACAGCAACAGCAACAACAAAACCAACAGCAGCAACAACAACAACTCCAACCATAACTGCAGCAGCTGCAGCAACGGCAACAACCAAACAAAAAAGAAAAAGCAGCAACCACAACACCAATAGCAACGGCAGCAGCAGCGGCAATATTTTTTGGATTTGTTTTTTGTTTTGTTCTTTTGAATCTGAATTAAACGCTCAAACCAGCAGAGCGTGAAAGTGTTTGTCTACATCGTTGTTGGCGTGAAGAGTCTATGTGTAAGCCGAGTGCTTTCGGTTTACAAATAGCGGGTGTAAAATTTCTTTTTCACATAAGGGTTAATATGAATGGAATATATCCACAAAGACCAGGTGTGAAGGGGTGCTGTCCACACACATCCTGGTGTGAAGAGGACCTGTCCACAGCCATTCGGCGTGAAGGGGCCCTGTCCGCGACCAGCCGGTGTAAAGGGGCCCTGTTCACAGACATCCGGTGTGAAGGGGCACCGTCCACGGACAACCTGGTGTGAAGGGGCCCTGTCCACAGACATCCGGTGTGAAGGGGCCCTGTCCACGGCCAAGGGGCCATGTTCACACCCGTCCGGTGTGAAGGGGCACCGTCCACGCACAGCCTGGTGTGAAGGGGCCCTGTCCACAGACATCCGGTGTGAAGGGGCCCTGTCCACACCCGTCAAGTGTGAAGGGGCCCTGTTCACACCCGTCCGGTGTGAAGGGGCACCGTCCACGCACAGCCTGGCGTGAAGGGGCCCTGTTCACAGCCATTTGGTGTGAACGGGCCCTGTCCACACCAGTCCGGCGTGAAAGGGCACCCTCCACGCATAACCTGGCGTGAAGGGGCCCTGTTCACAGCCATTTGGTGTGAAGGGCCCTGTCCACACCCGTCCGGCGTGAAGGGGCACCCTCCACGGCCAACCTGGTGTGGAGGGTCCCTGTTCACACATGTTTGGTGTGAAGGGTACCGTCCACGCACAGCCTGGCGTGAAGGGGCCCTGTCCACAGCCCTCCGGTGTGAAGGGGCACCCTCCACATACAGCCGCATAGCCTGGTGTGAATGGTCCCGCTCCACAGCCCGTTTGAATGGACCCTGTCCACATCCGTTCGGTGTGAATGGGCGACACGCCTGGCATAAAAGGGGCACTGTGCACAGCTGTGAAGTGTGAAGAAACACTGTTCACAAACAGCCCGATGTGAAGAAAACCTCTTCACAGCCCTCCGATAAAAAAATACTATTAATAATAGTAATACAACTGCAGCAGCAACAGCCACGACAATGGCCAACAACAAAAATCGCGGCAGCAGCAGCAGCAACAGCAACAACCAGAAAAGCAGCAGCAACACACACAGCCAAAACAACACCACACAACAACACGAAACAACAACAAACAATAACAGCACCATACAGCAACAACAGCAACACCAACAGCAACAACAAAACCAGCAGCAGCAACAACAACAACA